ACATGGGCAGAAAAAGAACTACAGATTTTAAAGTCTTACGGTGCCAAGTAGTGCGACATTAATAAAGCAGTGGATTATCATATCGCTAAAGACGCGGTCCTTAGCGGCTAACAAGATGGCTAACTTTAGCTGTCTTGTTCCACAGTTGAGACTGGGACCGTGTCTTTAGCGATAAAAGCTGCTGCTTTATTAATGTCGCGCTACCTCTGTTCCTCTCATAAGGCACAACACGGCTAAGTGAGTTTTGACCCGTGGTTTGTCAGGGAAGGAGGCTGAAGTCAGTCGGAGCTGCAGTTCTCACTCGTTTCATCCTCCACTTATAGAGCTGTTTTTAAATGGTGAAAAAGTTTCGTAGTGCTGACCTTTTGTCGGGACTTGTTTTTGGCGTTGTCTACAGAAATCTTTTTTCTGCTGCACGTCTGACAATTGAAATCCAAACCATCTCCAAATAACAGTCATAGTTTTTCTTTTTGCTCAGCATCTAAGCTGCTCCAGTGTTTACATCTGCTAAACTCCTGCCCACCTGGAGAAGCAGGAAGCGGTGGGAGTGCGGGGTGAGGGGCTGTGTTTGCATTCAGAGAGGGAGAAGGAGGGGCTGCGTGCAGTTAGCGCATACGGAAGAAAAAGAATCAGATTTTCAAATCTAATAATACTCGATGGTTGCGATGGAGCTGTTTTAACAATCGTAAATTGAAAAACTCACAATACATCGAGTATATTCGATATATTGCCCAGCCCTAATTCTTGCCCTGTTTTAATTCTTTAAAGGCACCGCTGAAGTGTCATCCATTCTGGAGGAGAAGATCTTGGGAGCTGATACCAGTGCTGATTTGGAGGAGACTGGTCGTGTCTTGTCCATTGGTGATGGTATTGCTAGAGTATATGGTCTGAGGAATGTGCAGGCTGAAGAGATGGTGGAGTTCTCCTCTGGGTTGAAGGTAAACTTTACTAAGGAGGTTGCGTTAATGTTTGCTAAATCAACAAAAGTCTAGGGCATATTTCAAAAGGTGATTTATAACTGAGTAGAGTCAATTCTCAGCTGTTTAGGTTAGGTTTTGTGGTGTGTAGTGCCCAGAAATGGGTTCAGAGCTTTTATCGCTGCATATTTACTTGGCATAATTATTACTTTCTTGTTCAGGGTATGTCGCTGAACTTGGAGCCTGACAATGTTGGTGTTGTGGTGTTTGGTAATGACAAGCTGATCAAAGAGGGAGACATCGTCAAAAGAACTGGTGCCATCGTCGACGTGCCTGTCGGTGAAGAGCTCCTGGGCAGAGTTGTGGATGCTCTGGGAAATGCCATTGATGGAAAGGTACTCATGTTCATTCATTGTCCCTAGAAGTTATATTATAAAATTTGTAACAAGCCCATATTCTTATAATTATGACGACGCATTGAATCAAAGAGAGGCTGTATTTCTGCTTATTTTGTATTAGTTTATTAACAGTAACCAACACTCTTCTGGTTTGGTCTTATGCTTCCTCCTGTTCAAAGGGTCCTCTTGGCTCCAAGACCCGCAGGCGTGTAGGTCTGAAGGCCCCTGGTATCATCCCCCGCATCTCTGTGAGGGAGCCAATGCAGACTGGCATCAAAGCTGTGGACAGCTTGGTGCCTATTGGTCGTGGACAGCGTGAGCTCATCATTGGAGACCGGCAGACTGGGTAATGGGGGCTGCTCAAAGTGAATATTTAAGCACATGGTAGCTTGCAGATGTTGTGATCCAGCACTTTTGAAACGCTGTCGTCGCAGTGCATTCATACTGAGCTGTTTTACTGTAGGTACTGCCATCTTATTCAACGGTTTCAAATACAACGTGCACAGTAAAGATAAACAAATCTTACATGTTTTGTTACTTCAGTTTAAAGTACTTGCGTGTTGGATCATTTTTAATTTAAAAAGGGAATAAACTTAGACACGACTATTATCTCCAACATAAAAGCTAAAGGATCACATGAAGACTTTACATTTTTGTTGCAGCAAAACTGCAATTGCCATCGACACCATCATCAACCAGAAACGTTTCAATGATGGAACTGACGAGAAGAAGAAGCTCTACTGCATCTACGTCGCCATCGGCCAGAAGAGATCCACCGTGGCTCAGCTGGTGAAGAGGCTGACTGATGCTGATGCCATGAAGTACACCATTGTAGTGTCTGCCACTGCCTCTGATGCTGCTCCGCTGCAGTACCTGGCTCCCTACTCCGGCTGCTCCATGGGGGAGTACTTCCGAGACAATGGCAAGCACGCCCTCATCATCTATGACGATCTCTCCAAGCAGGTGAGCTTCACATCTTATGTTCTGACGGGGATAAATCCAGATGCTGCTAGTAAATTTGAGAAAGTTGCTTGTGGTTAAATCATGTTAACTGTTCTTGCTACCTCTCTGCAGGCTGTCGCCTACCGCCAGATGTCCCTGCTGCTCCGTCGTCCTCCTGGTCGCGAGGCTTACCCAGGAGATGTCTTCTACTTGCATTCCCGTCTGCTGGAGAGAGCTGCTAAGATGAACGACAACTTTGGTGGTGGCTCCCTCACAGCCCTTCCTGTTATCGAGACACAGGCTGGTGACGTGTCTGCCTACATTCCAACTAACGTCATCTCCATCACAGACGGACAGGCGAGCATCTGACTTGTTTCATTCTGCTAGGATCAGCCGCACGCTATTCTTTTAATGCTACGTTTCCACGCAGATCTTCTTGGAGACCGAGCTGTTCTACAAAGGTATTCGTCCTGCCATCAACGTGGGTCTGTCTGTGTCACGAGTCGGATCTGCTGCTCAGACCAGGGCCATGAAGCAGGTTAGTCCTTTTGGTCTTCTTCCAGTTTGTCTCACTGAGAATCTTCCATGTGAACTTACTCATTACTCCCCGTCGTCAGGTGGCTGGTACTATGAAGCTAGAGTTGGCCCAGTACCGTGAGGTGGCTGCCTTCGCTCAGTTTGGTTCAGATTTGGACGCTGCCACTCAGCAGCTGCTGAACCGTGGGGTTCGCCTGACAGAGCTCCTTAAACAGGGACAGTACTGTGAGTGTTAACTGCTTATTTCTACATGGACTTTAGATCAGGGTTCTGTTTTTCTCACATTGCCTTCTTTAATCTCTCAGCTCCGATGGCTATTGAAGAGCAGGTAGCAGTCATTTATGCTGGTGTGAGGGGACATTTGGACAAAATGGAGCCAAGCAAGATCACAAAGTTTGAGAAGGCGTTCCTGCAGCACATTCTGAGCCAGCAACAAGAACTGCTCACAACTATTAAGTAGGTTGAAATCTTTAAGAAACTATTTTTGAGCACGAAGCTTTCTTGTAACCGATTTTCTCTCGTTTGCAGGGCCGACGGTAAAATCTCTGAAGCGTCCGATGCTAAGCTGAAGCAGATTGTGCTGAATTTCCTCTCCAGCTTTGAGTGAAGTTGTACTTTTTTCATTTAATTGTAGTGTTTGTTTGCAATGTGTGGCATCAGTCATACGGTCTATGAAATTGGAAAACAATATAAAGAGGCACTTGATCTTTAATGTACAGATATCTCCTAACTGAGAATAAAAGTGTTTCAACTAAATGACCTTTTTGCTTGCAGCACTGTTAATCATGTTAGGAATTAGGTGTTTCTATAAATTTTATTGGTGTTTTTATTCAGTTTACTGATTACAGCTAACTTACAATTAGCCACTCAAATTTACACATCTAATCTGCAGTGCCATCTGCTGGTTAGTGATGGAAGATAAAAGTGTAATTTTTAATTAATTACTGTTGAAATAGTCAATAGTTATAGTTATATCTGATGATACATGCCAGTACTTCAGTATTTTAAAAAATATATTGCGTAAAATGTATTCAGGTTAACTGGATCATCATGGGTGTGTCTTGATTAAAAAAAAAAAGTTTTAAGATTAAAAGTTAATGCATTACTCTGTTAAGACTAATGCAGTGGACAGAAGTGCAACAAGCTGGAGAAGCCAAATTCAAATTGCTGCCGTTTATTCAATAAGCACTTTATTAAAATACTGGGTGAATCATAATATTTCAAACTGTGGAAGAAGTTTTTTTTTTTTTTTTTAATGAAGAGACGAGTTGTGAAATATAAAACCAGCTGCAGAAATATTCGTAACAAAACTGACTAAAAACATGAATGAATGGTGCACAGCAAATTCTCAAGTTAAAGATGCAAAATAAATATTCAATATTAACGGGATCAGAGTGCTGTTTACAACGTGAAAAAAAAATCTTGTGCTCAGAGTGATGACTTGTGATGTTAATAAAAACAGTCCTTAAAGTAAAACGTGTATAACAGGGCTATTCAAGTGGTGGCTCAGGGGCCAAATCAGGCCCACAGATGAACTGTTCAGCTCACCAATGGGTTCATTTTAAATAAAACTAGATTTTAAACCATAAAACAAACTTACGTATTGACAATGTTGGATGTCTGGCCCCTGAGCTCTTGGCTTTCAGTAACTGTGCCCCCCTGAGCAATTTAGTTGAATAGTCCTGATGTATACACTTGATAAATACTATTAAAACCACGTACAGTAGTCCCTCATTTATCACGGGGATCCATACCCTGAAGCCCTGTGATAAGTGAAAAACCGTGAAGTAGGAATAGTAGTTTATTTTAATATTTATATGAAAGTGTTTAAAACCTTTCCCACACTCTTAACAATATTCTAAACAATGTTTCTAAACGCTCTATAAAAGCACAGAATGTCATGATTTCAGCTCCCTGCCTCGTCTGCTCTTTGCCACCTGCAAGCGCTCTTGGCCACGCCCACTTCTCCGCTCTGCACGGTGAACAGCTGATCAGCTGCAGGAGGAAGTTTGCAGTATGGGCTGCACAAATGTGCAGGAGGTGCTAAATAATTTTAAAATAATTTATTTTAAATAAACAATCCATGCCTATCGAGTGGCTCATCCATCAATCAGCCAGTTGTGTGTCATGTCCAGTATTGCGTTGAAAAACCGCGATAGAGTGAGTCTGTGATAAACGAATCTCGAAGTAGCGAGGGACTACTGTATTACACCCGGTTCTGCTTTACATTCATCCCAGGTCTTCGATGGTTGTTTTTGGGTATATTGTTCTGGTTTACATAACTTGGGTCGTAGTAATCCCACTCCAGAGCTGAGGACAGCATACTGTTGGACAGACTGTCTGCTGAGAGGATCCGCAGGGAGACGCCTGGAAGACCACGCCCACATTTCTGAATTTATCCCCAAAAAATAAAAACAAAGTCGGATTTTAATATAATTTTTCCTGATGTGATCTTTTTTAAAAATGGATCTAAAGTCTAAATGTGGTGTTCTTTTTTATTTTAATTTTTTTTAATTTATTTATATTGACATTTAATGGAGGATTCCACCCACACTCAAACTGACATGGCATATATGTAGATCCCTTAAAGATTAGAAATAATAGCAACTTCTCAGATACTCTGGACTCCAGTGTTTCTGCAAACAGAATATCTCTTATTAAAATAACGGTAATTGCAGCTAATTATTAAGTGAAGGGGAACGTTCAGCTTTGGCAGAAATTATGGCAAATTAAACCTGATAATTCAGTACATACTCCAAATAATAAAAAACAATCCAGTTGTTCAGATTGTGTACTGTATATCCTTTGGCTCTTTGTCAAATTTGGAGCAGAATTTAAAATTATGCAAAACTCTCAACAACCAAGCCCAATCTTATATTTTTGTGTCGTGGTAAAAAGGAGATTCCCTGAACAGACCAAGGTGTAGTTCATCAGATTTATTTTCAAAGCTTTGGAGAGCAGTCCAGCATCGTCACAGAACATGCAATTACAAGATTACACTGTTATCAGTGCTGTCATCCATGTGAAACCCCGACCTGCTCTAACTCTGGACCGGACATGTTTTATAGAATAATCTCACTGTCCAGCCCTCAGCCCCTCTCCTCCATGTCTGAGCTGTCATCCAAGGGTCTGCTGCAGACACGAAGGAGTGAATCTGAGGCAAGGACTCTGCTTGAGACACGTTTATCAACTCTATCATATCAATGTACTAGTACTTCCTGTTCCTTACTGACTGGTCACAGTACGAGTGAGTACATGGGACCGTTAATATCACACATCCCAACGTGAGCAGAAGGACATTGCAGAACGTTCCCACAGGAGAGTTATTGATCATGATGAGTGAAAATAATACACTGTCGCTGACGTTTGCTCCTAATTCCTCTAAAGAAACACGTCACTGTCAGAATGCAGGTTTACTTGTGCTTCCTAGGGTTTCTAAAAGTGAATATCAGGCTCCTCTTTGATGAAACCCACTTCCAGTTTCTGTCCATGAGGCTGACTTGGAATCCCGGGGAAGTGGCCTGGATGATGCTCGGTGCTCTAAGAGACCCCAAACCTGTTGCACCATCTGGCCTCAGCAGCCTGAACCTGGGGTTCACCCCGACCCTGTCTCTGGGTGATGAGGCTCTGGAGGAGGTAACTGGATGGGACAGAGACACACAGGCTGTCCTTGCATCCTGAAACAGGTCAAAGAGCACATCTCTATTTAGAGGAATGCTGATCGTATGCTCAGGTTGTCTCTCTGGCACTGGTGGGTTGAAGTCCCAGTCAGAGAGGACTGGTTTAGAAACTGTGCAGCTTCTCATACATGTAGTTTCCGAACACATATAGTTGGCTTTCATTACAGACAAATAATGTCATTACAGTAACAATTACAAGTTGTGAATTTACACAACCACATGGATTTTGATGCATCGTTGTCTTGTCATAGCAACTTTTGACCACTAGATGGCAGCAATAAGCTCCTGACTTCCATAAAAGAGGAAATTATTTGATTCCCAGCTGATTCTGTAACTTTGCCTCTTGCATTGAAATGAACAGTCTCTAATTTTTATGTTTGTTTAAATTTAATGGAAGAAGACAAGCCGTCAGCTTGAACTCCAGATCAAAATAGCTTTACAAAAGAGGCTGAAACTGATTTGTAAAACATTGGAAAAAATGTATTTTGAAAGTATTTTAAACCATACAACCCAGCGAGAATTCTGTCTCCCAAAGATGGGTTTTGCGCCCATGTGGCAATCAATCAATCAATCAATCAATCAATCAATCAATCAATCAATCAATGCCCTAGCCTTCCTTGAAGAAATGCATTGACTGATATGTGGGGACTTTACTAGTCTGTGAGTAGACTTCAGGAGATCGAATCCTCATGTCCCTCAATCACATGAAGGTCATTTTAAACTTTTATATAATATACTTATGTTTGAAATTTTAGTTCATATTCAGTCTATTAAAAAAATAAAATAATAAATTGAGCCTTCTCAATTCTTTGTAAGTGAACAAACTTATAACATAATCCGGGGCTCAGATAATCACCTCTTCCACTCTACTTGAAGTTGAGCAGTGACGTTCTCAATGCTTTGAGTGCAAATAAACAATACTGTAAAAATGATTAAAATGCTTTTGTTAAATTTTAATCTGCAAAAATACAGAAGGCACAGGCTGAAAATAGCTGCCGTTTTTCATAGAGACTCAATATTTGAACAAAAGCCTTTAAGAACTTTCTTGAGTCTTCTTCAGTCAGTGTAGGATTTGGCTCATTTACAGTACATTTGGACAGATTTCAGCTGTCCATCACAGCAAACGCACCATAAAAAGTAAGAAAATGTGTGTTTAGTTGCTGGATGTAGCAATGCTAAACGGAAATATATCTTATAGTTGAAGGGCCTGTTAGTTTCCTCTTAAATGGGACCATTTTTGTTTGGAAAAGGCATTTTGTGCGTTGCGGATATGAAAAACCTGCCAAATATTCTGCCTAACACCTTCTTCTACTTTTGATTCTTGTTATGAGCTTCTGGTATTCCAGGTGCTGACAATCAAATGACTGATCAGCACCACCTCCCTTGTGACTCGAAAAGGAAAAAGTGTGTAAAGAAAATGGTTGGATGGATGAAATGGACTTCCGGCAGTTCTGACCCCATTAAACACCCGTGGGATCAGCTTGGGCATGTTGTGACCAACACAACAACAATGGCAAACTTACTTCAAGTGCTGCTCGAAGAACTAGATGCCATACAACAGCATGTGATAGATATGGTGATCAACTTGAGGAGGAGCTGCCAAGCTATTGTGGCTGTGTATGGTTCTTCCACATGCAACTGAGGCCCCTTTTTGTTGACCAAATTAATTGTTAAATTGCCAAATATGCCTTGTTTTCTCAGACTTCAGTCATCCGAACCAACAAACACCAACAATTAAGAGGCAACAGAATGAGCTGTTTATCATTGGCAGATACATTTGTCAAGTTCAGGCAAAGGTAGAGAGCTGGCTTTCATGATGCAGAGAAGAATGGTAGATGTTCCATGTGCCCAAGAGACCAAGTGGAAGGGAAGTGGCAGAAACAAAGATGTTGAGGTTCTCCTTAGGAGTGACAAGGATGGATAAGATTAGGAATGAGATCATCAGAGGTACAGCGCAGGTTGAACAACTGGGAGATAAAGTTAGAGAGACCAGACTGAGATGTTCTGGACATGTTAAGAGGAGGGACAGTGGGTATACTGGTAGAAGGATGTTAGAAATGCAGCTGCCAGGAAAAAGACAAAGAGTAGATATATGGATGCAGTTAGAGAGGACATGGAGGTAGTTGGAGTGAGGACAGAGGATGCAGAGGACAGAGTGAAATAGAGGGGGATGACTTGCTGTGGCGACCCCTGAAGAGGGAAAAGTCAAAAGAAGAAGAAGAAGAAGAGAAATTTGTCAAGTTTTCCACACAACATACAACTAATAAACAGAAGTGGCAGCATTTAATAGAAAATAAAGAGGCATTCTAATAGGATAGTATTTATTTGAAAAAAGCATTGGTACAAGAAATAATCAATCAAACAAAATTTTCCTTTATGTGTTAAATCTTTAAACGTTTAATCTTATAAAATGAGTTTGAGCTAAAAGAGAAAAATACTCATCGTTATCTAATAATTTCCAACAGTTAACGCTAATGAAGGAATTGTGGAAAACAACATTTCATTATGCAACAGTCCCTTTTTTAAAGGTGAAATTATGTAACTGGACAGTTGGCTTTGAAGACAGGTGTGGGCTGGTCCATTAGAGTTTTTTCATCTGTTAATTATGCAAAAAAAGGCTGGCATGATTAAAAATGTGACATTTGTGTTTGGAAGACGTAGCTGCAGACCCACAGAATGTGGTTTACTGAGCTGTCAGCGCAATGAACAAAAGGCCAAACTGAGGTTAAAATAAGATTTAATGGAGATGGTAGAAGCATTTAGGGTTGTCGAAAGACACTTGATGACTCATAAAAATGTCTGGGTGTCCACAGAAGACAGAAGAAGAGTATAATTTCTGCAAACTTAACGTCAGAAAGAAACTTCTTCTGCAATAAACCTAATCCAAAACATGAACGATCCAAAAACAAATCTTCAAACAAATCTTCTATACTTTAAAATACATGCATTGTAGCAATAATATGTGTACAAAATGTATTGCTTTCAACTGAAGTGTGTGTAAATGTTGACAAGGACTAAATACATTTTAAAGTATGTATTCTGCCTCTATATTGTATGACTGCATGCTCCAAAATGTAGCTCAATATCTTTGAAATGTGTGAATTTATAGCCATTTCTGTGTTAGTTTAAGGTCAGGTGACTGTGACAGCCAAATCAGCCAAGTTAAATCTGTTGTAAATGTGCATTAAGTACCGTATTTTCTGGTGTATAAGTCACAGTTTTTTTGCTTAGATTTGTCAGTCCTGCGATTTAAACGCCGAAGCGAATTATACACGTTTTTTTCTTCCACATTCATAATGCAATTTTTGACTGACGCTTTAAATTTCGAAGAACTGCATCAGCGAGTCCTCCTGTGTCCACTCGTTTTACTCAGCTGGTGCAGGCGGAGGAACGCTGGAGGGCTCGCAGTTCCGGCCACGATGCATGGATGGATGGTGCCACAGGCGAAATGAAGCTGTTTTGACTATTAAAGTGCATTTATTAAGGAAAAGTTAAACTGAGAAACACCTTTGCTATAATGTCGAGCAAACAAGTAATTGTTTCTAAGTGTTAATCTTGTTAAATTTTGAAGAACTGCAACAGCGAGTCCTCCCGTGTGTGCTCGCTTCACTCAGTTGGTGCAGGTGGAGGAACGCTGGAGAGATTTGCGGCTCCGGCGTCGATGGATGATGCTGCGCCGCCAAGGCAAAATGAAGCTGTTTTCACCATTAAATGAACGCATAATAAATGCGACTTGTACGCCGATGCACCTTATATATGTTTTTTTTCCACTTCATGATGCTTTTTTTGACTGATGCTACTTATACTCCGGAGCGACTCATACGCCGAAAAATGCGGAAATTACTTCCTGCAAGTTTTATTAAAATACGTCCGATGATTCACGAGATATTTTGTTAACAGACAGGGACAAATAGACAGACATGGTAACAAACATAACTGTCCACCTTCACCTTTTGGAAGTGGGTGACTAATTAAACAGCTGCAGTTATTAAAAGGCCTGAAAAGACAATGTTTATGTCACTCGCTTCCAGATTTAAAGCAGTTATTTCCTGCACATGAAGTTCTGAAACAACTGGTAATCTGTATTTCCCAACTTTTGTATCCTCTAGTGTCTGTATAAATGGCCTTAAATATGGAATCAGGTACACATTAGATGCATACAGTATATCGCAATATCTTGAATGTGTTCTTAATGAAAGTGTCTAGAGGACTGTTTATCATATCTGTTGCTAAATCCTATAGAAATGTCATATCCATCATGTTATTGTCCATTATTATCCATATACCGGTATACATACATACATATATATATATACACACACACATATATATACGTAATAGCAACAAAGGCGAGTAGAAAAAAGCAGTGGCATTTTTGTTCTTTATTTTTTCATGCTTTAGAACATGGTAGTAATACATGAGCAGCTGTATTATTGCAGAATATGTACAAACGTTTCTAAAAATTCAATAGAACATTTGACAATTGAATCTCTTTTAGAGACAACTTTTTTATGTTTGCACACAAAGTAGACCTTTGCACACAAGTACATTATGCTATTGTAATAAATCAATGCAAAAGTTCAGTCATATGAGCACCATATAACTATCATCATATAAAGAAGACAAAGTAGAAGATATAGTTGTTTTGCTTTCTCATTTCTATCTACTGTTCAGGTTTAAGAAAGTCTATACAGACTTAACTGGCACATGGATATCCTGCCACCAGTTTGCAAGTGTAGCAGTGCAGCTAACTTTTTTCAGTCAAGAGAAGGCTACCTCTGATTGTAAAGACATCATGTGCTAGTTCTGCACCCTTCTAAAGTCAGAGATGTGCTTTGTGCCAACTCCTGCAGAAAGTCACCCCGTTTGACCTCCCACTGTGCACCACTTGCCATTTCCAAACACAGAGGTTGTGATTGGTTGTGATAGCAGCACCAAAGGCAAAGATGTGGTTAGGAATCGATAATGAAGACACACGGTGAAGCCGTGTCTGTCTAGCACTGGCCCAGGCTGTGCTTGATGATCTCACGAGACTGCGGCGGGATCCTGTCGGGGAAGAGCACCTGGAACTCCACCACCAAGTCGCCTCGTTGGGACGGGTTCTTGGGCAAAGGCAGGCCCTCGCCCCTCAGCCGCCGGATGGCGCCAGGCTTGATGACGTCGTTGCACGGCAAAGGCATCATCCGGTTGTCAAGTGTTGGGACATTAACTGTACAGCCGCAGAGTGCCTGGAGACAAGAGGAGAACAGACGAGGTTAGTCCTGCAGATCTGTCGTTTATGTCCTGGTATGACTGGGAAAAAAAAGGAGCATAACAGAATCTAAAAATGCACAGTTGCATAACTGATGAATATGTGTTCTTGTGAAAGGACTGAGTTATGCAACGGCGCTACAGATGTTCCAATCACTGCTCTATTTTCTGACTGTGTGTGGGAGTCAAGTGTTTCAGTGACTGATGGGGAGCCAAAGGACGACGGAGGAGCTATTTGAAATGTCAGTCCCTGTGACTGCTACCCTGCTAATATCTGTGCGTGGGTTGGTTGGTGGAAGTGAGAGGCTGAGACAGAGCCAGCAAAAAAAAAAAAAAAGGCTAGTTGAGGCGGAGGAGTCTGCAGCAAGTGCATTGGTTGAGGGTGAAGTGCAATTCGTGGGCGCAGTCAGCAGCGAGGGCTAAATTTAGCTCCTTTTTTCTCTCTCGCTCTGCAGGGGCTGCTGAGGTAACGGAGGTGTTGGCAGACTGCCGCTGTTCTGTTTGTGGGGGACTGTCACCTACTTGTGTGTGAGGCTGAAATGCCCCAGAAGGAACACCATGTTCTGTGTTACAGTAAAAGACTTTAATTTGGGTGATTCTATTTATAGAACAATGCTCCTATCGTTCATTTACTTGGACCCTGAGTGAATACTCACTTCTTTAAGGGTGATCTGGGCGACGTATACGATGTTGGAGCCGTCTCTCTTGTAGTTTGGGTGGTCTTCATCCCTGAGGATGAAGGTGATGTCTGCGGGGCTGCCGCTGGGCGTCTCGTCTCCCTCCCTGGGGAAGGTGATCCTGGTTCCTGCTTTCCAGCCTTTCTTCACCACCACGTTCAGCACCTTCTCTTCGGACCTCAGGCTGCGGCCGTCGGGGTTGAGGCGACTGCGGGTGATCTTCACTTGCTTCGTGCAGCCCTGCATCACGTCATCCAGGGTCACGGGCAAGTCGTGCGCCACAGCGTCAGCTTGCTGCCCATGCTGGCCTTTCCGCATACCGGCCTCGTAGCCGGCGAACCCGCCCAGGTTGCTGAAGGTGAACTTCCTGAAGGGGTTGAACAGGTCGTCTTCGTTGTCGCCGTCGCTTCCGAAGAAGATGTCGAAGTGATCAGAGTTGTGGAAGAAGGAGGAAAATGTGGAGTGGGGGTCACTGGGGAAGTTGTTGCGGAAGAGGTTGCTTTGGCTTGTTGAGATTCCACTTTTAAGACCTTAAACAGAAAGAACAGCGAAGATGAGGTTTTTCTCTCTTTTGTTTGTCAAACTGAAAGCTTTACTAAGATAAAACTCTCATGTTGCACATGTGCTGGGTAAATAAAGAGTTTGAGTCATGAACCTCCCACTTCTGTAGCTTTCAAGTAAACAAGCCGGATGGAAGTTAATTAAAACTAAACAACCCACCCCCCCCCCCCCCCCCCCCCCCAGCCAGTTTCAATCTCCCACTTGGCTCACCTTCCTCTCCAAACTGATCGTAGATGCTTCTCTTTTTGGGGTCGGTCAGGATCTCGTAGGCCTCGGCGATCTCCTTGAACTTGTCTTCTGCGTCCGCGTCACTGTTCTTGTCCGGGTGGAACTTGAGTGCCATCTTCCTGTAAGCCTTCTTGATTTCGTCCTCATTGGATTCGGGGGCGACACCGAGGACTTTGTAGAAATCTTTGCCCGCTGGCTTGATGGACGGGCAGGGCATGTCCTGCTCGGACTTAGTGCTCTCCTACAGAACAGACACACATACATGAACACCTCAAATATATTATAGACAAACTACTTTTAGATGATAATGAAACTGTTAACCCCTTGTAATGGTGTTTTCTTCCAGTATGAAGAAACTCCCCTCAACAACAGCGAGAACACCCTTATGTCTGTGCTACTGTGCGGATGCTGGGATTTTATAGGCTGATGCTCCACACAAGTGAGGGATGGGGCTAAAACCATGTGAAGATGTGAGAGGCAACAGCCTTCACCCAACGACCGAGATTCTCTGCAGCGATTGGCTGGAGGAGAATCAGCATCTCTGGCATGTGAATGAATCAGATGCCGGTATAGTAGAAGTTCAGCAACATAATTAAATACGTTTTATCTCTAAATGAATCACCCAGCAGAGAAGGATGATGAGTTTTAGACATTTTTTTGGATATAAAAAGTACTTACAGCTGATGATGAAGAGCCCGAGCTGTCTCCTCTGTGCATAACCCGCACCTTGCACTTGACATTGCCGTTTTTCTGCTTCACACCGAACTGCGTCCAGATGAGAACCATGGTTGTTTTAAGGTTGTCGCTGTCCGCTCGCTGTGGTGCTGAAACTAAAACTGCTCGTGTAGCTCCGTTGTGCCTGTGAGCTCGCCGGCGCTCTGTTAAATACTCGCCCGCCGCAGCTCCTTTTGACGAGCCGCGCGCTCGGCCGGCCCACGCAGCGCCACGCTCGAGCTTTCCCGGGGACCGCCCCCTTTCCTCGCGCGCGGCAGGGGGATGCCGGTGACGATCGCGCGGATGTTGCAGCCTCCATCTCCATCTCGAGACTTGCTTCCGGAGTTCTTGCAGGCAGAGCAGAGCAGACAGTCACGACGCAGAACACCGAGTCCAGACTGAAGAACAAAGTCTGCAGAGACAAACTCCAGACAGAGATGGACATTATGTCCTCACTTTGTGCTCCAAACCCATCTGTCCCTTTCCTATTTTAGATGGGATTTTTGGGTCACTTATGCAAGAATAAAACATAATCGAGTGTTTGCAGAGCCTGCAGCAGATTCTTAAGAAACGAAAAGCCTTACATTCATTGACGGACAGTAAAGCAACTTTATCTATTGTAATCTGTCAGTGCATGGAGTATCAGTTGAGGATGACTCTCAGCTACTACCTCACCAAGTTGTAGCTCACTGTCTGCAACGTAGATTGAGCTGTAGCCATTTTTTCTGCTTTTAATATCAGCTGGTTGTGATGGGCATCTTGAATTGATCTGACTCCAGAAGTTGATCAGTTGTGGATGTGCATGCAGTTATTATTTTCTGAGAGTTCCATTAAAATACGTCCACTTGTTTGTGAGATATTTTGCTAACAGACAGACAGAGTTGATTTCAACTGCTAATTGTAAATTTTTGAACATGCATCTAATGCAAACTTTCATTTTGAGTCTGAGGTGGGCATGCTTGTACCACACAGAATCGCTGCTCGAAAGCTGCAAAATTGCCTAAACTATAGTGATTTTTGTGTTTTGTGAATTCAGTTACATGTGGCAGCCATCTTGAATGGAGTTGACTCCAAACAGTCAAACAATTTTAGATGTGCAGCTGATCATTTTCTGAAAATATCATTAAAATCTGTCCACTGGTTCATGATACACTTTGCTAACACTCAGAGGCAAAAACATCACCACGTGCTTAGCATTTGGTTGCTGGAAATAAGTAGTAATTATTAAAAATACCCTGCAAGCGGTGAAAATTCTGTCCCGAAAATGCAAACAAACTTAAAATAAATAAAAACTTTTCAGGAAATAGTGCTGATAAACTTAAAATAACATGACTAGTATGAGTTCTGAACACTTCACAAAGCATCATTACAATCTGGTGTGCTTTTCAAAATTTATGCCCTTCAGGATTTGTTCATATTTTCATCTGTAGGCAGTTTCCTTAATATTAGCATCCATTAGTGGATTTGTCATGACTGAACAGGTGTTCCAAACAGCAGGTGAGTCCAGTTTACAATAGATTACTGCAACCGTTATCTTTGATGGGGTGAATTTCTGAATTGTTGCATCTAATCATGCATGGCCTCATAACACACAAAAAAAACACCATAAACTGAACTGTTCAAATAATCCATCTCTTTGTTGTGCAGCTGAAATGAGCTGTTATTGAAGTTTATAGGTCTGGTGCACTTTAAAACAGACAGGTAATTATTAAAAAAAAATTGCTTGTGGGTTACTTTTACTTTAGAGCAAACAGATGTGGGAGGAAAAGGCAGCTTGGTGTTGTGTAACTGAACGTGTTATAAAAAGGAGACACTGTGGACTGTGAAATATGAAGCTGTTGACAGAAAGATGGATTCAGGTTTTCTTTTCAACTGAACTGTCATTTACAAATTACAGGCTGCAAGAGGTGTCTTAATTATGATAATGTCACGTCAGTCAATCAGATTTGAGTTTTCTGGCATGTCTGGAACATGAAATTCATCAAGCCACAAATCTCGCAATGAACTGGATCTCAGCTTTGATACAATTGCAGGTAAAGAAAGTTCTTATTCTTCAGAGGAATAAAAAAAAAAAAAACTATAAAATTAGTGTTGTTAGCTGGAGAGTACGAGATAAGTACCAGTTATGTACCAGGTAAGTACTGTTGCATACCTGGTACTTTATGACCCTGCTTCCACCAGATTGTCCTTTGTCTCATTAGATTATTTTACAAAGAAGGCCTTCGCTCATTGAACTTATCTTTAATTATCATTAAATAGTCTTCTTACAAAAAATAACTAAGAAAAGGATCATAATATATGTTTTGTATACAACTCAATTTTGGATAAAGTTGGGACATTGTGTAAAATGTAAATATAAACAGAATCCAATGATTTGTAAACCTCATAAACCCGTACTTTATTCACAGTAGAACAAACACATCAACAACTTAAACTAAAATGTTTTACCATTTATAGGAACAAATAAGGTTATGTTTAAAAACCTGTGCATATTTTCTGCATTAGTGCCTTTCTACATGTACAAGCTGTCAATGCCAGAGGCACAAATACACCCCCATACCATCAGAGAAGCAGGTTTTTGAACTGTCCACTGATAGAAAACTATAAAGTATTTTTCTGCTTTGTTATGGAGGATGCAGCCTCCATAGTTTATGCAAAGAATTTCTATTTGTCTGACCAAAGAACAGCTTTCCCTTTTACCTCAAGAGCTTTGGCCTTGAAAGGACTGTAAACATTTCTGGACGGTGTTCACCTATGGCTTCTTTCTTGCCTCATACCACTTTAAGCTGTGCCTGTCGATAGCACGGCGAGCTGTTTTCAGACAATGACTTGTGAAAGTGTTGCTGAGCCTACGCAGTGATGTTCATGACAGAATCAGTCTTTTTCTTTTAATGCCATGCTGCCTGGGAGCCTGAAGATCACCCAGTACTGACTCAGCCTTGTCTTTTGCACTGAGATTTCTCCATATTCTTGAAATCTTTGGATGATTTTGTGAGTTGGGGTATTCAGCTTCTTCTTCTTCTTCTTTCGGCCTTTCCCTCTTCAGGGGTCGCCACAGCAAGTCATCCTCCTCCACCTCACTCTGTCCTCTTCATCCTCTGTCCTCACTCCAGCTACCTTCATGTCCTCTCTAACTGCATCCATATATCTCCTCTTTGGCCTTTATCTTTGTCTTTTTCCTAGCAGCTGCATTTCTAACATCCTTCTACCAATATACCCACTGTCCCTCCTCTTAACATGTCCAAACCATCTCAGTCTGGCCTCTCTAACTTTATCTTCCAGTTGTTAAACCTGTGCTGTACCTCTGATGATCTCATTCCTAATATTATCCATCTTTGTCACTCCAAAGGAGAACCTTAGCATTTTCATTTCTGCCCCTTCCAATTCTTTCTCCTGTCTTTTTGTCAATGCCGCTGTCTCCAGACCATACAATATAGCTGGTCTCACCACTGTCTTGTAAACTTTTCCTTTGACCTTTGCTAGCACCTTTTTGTCACAAATCACTCATGACACTTTTCGCCATCCACTCCATCCTGCCTGGACTCTCTTTTCACTTCTTGACCACATTCCCTATTTTCCTGGACAGTGGATCCCAAGTACTTGAAGTCCTGCACCTTTGTGACCTCTGCTCCTTGTAGCCTCACTGTTCCACCGGCCTCCCTCTCATTCACACACATGTATTCTGTCTTACTACGGCTGACTTTCATTCCTCTTCTTTCAAGTGCATACCTCCACCTCTCCAAGTTCTCTTCTACCTGTTCCTTGTTCTCACCACAGATCACTATGTCATCTGCAAACATCATAGTCCATTGGGATTCCTGCCTGACCTCATCTGTTCAATTCAATTCAATTCAGTTTATTTATATAGCGCCAATCACAACAAAGTTGTCTCAGGGCACTTTACAGAAACATTCACATACATAAAAGCCAATTAGTAAAGTTCTCTAGCTAAGGAGGCCAGCAGACAAGTTGAATCTTGGCTTCGTTGCAGTCTCCCATCCTGAGCAAGCACAGTGGCAACAGTGGAAAGGAAAAACTCCCTTTTAAAAGGAAGAAACCTCCAGCAGAACCAGGCTCAGGACAAG